GCGGTTCCTCAGGTGTAATACTCGAATGTAACGATCTTCACGGGGCGTGGTTACTCGTGGTCTTCCACTCCTGGGCCTGTCTGACGTCTGACCTGTCTGACGTAACCGCTGCATCAACCTGGTGATAGTGATGCGTGCGCAGCCCAACCTTCTGGCGACGTCGACGTGTGTCGCTACTTGTTGGACGGCTCTCTCTCTCTCGATGGCTGTCAAACGTGGCATATCTTGTTCTTTTTGTTGCTGTGATATCAACGTGTCTGATCAGCCGTTTTATACAGTTTTTATGCACGTGCAGAACATGCTAGACAGGGAAATGTCACTTTCACGTGTTCCCGGTATTTTTATCGACTATGCTGTGTTTGGGATGTGCAATATGAATTGGCATGTTTTCATATTAGACAATTCACTTAGTAAAAAACAATTTTGAAAATAAGTTGGTATCGTTTCTTTTGGACACTAGTTTAGTACAGTATTATATTCAACTAAATAATTACACTTTGGTATAATGAAATATTAAAACAGAACTTGAATCATGTTTTTACATATTGTGAGATTTCAATGATACAGTTTTTATATCAGGATGTCTATATTTAACTTTAATTATTCTATCTGTGTTTAAACTACACATCAATATACCAATAAATCAATAGATCAATAGATCAATATCAATCAATCAATATATTAATCAGGTATCACTGATATTCACCATCAATTTTAATTGCATTATCATGATTCAATGATTTGTGTGTTGAGAGCTCGTTAAAAATTCATCACCTATTTCATAATATCAAAAAAAGAACATGATGTGAATGGAGTTTTACATCCTACTTTAATGAAGACGGGTAACGCCATGCAGGGTTCAATTAGGAAAATTTTGCCAGGACAGCAGCATTAGCCTACTCTTTTTCTATTTCCAACTGTCGAGGGATCTTTAACGTGCACAGCCAGGGTTTATTGTTCCATCTGATTATAACATTAAGATCAACCTATTAATTGATAAGACTATATACATCGATACTGGTCTCAAAATCAAATTCTTATCTTAAGCCATCATGGAAGAAAAACAGATGGTTAACCTCAAAATATCAACAATAAAAACCAACAGATTTCATTGATTCCTTAATAACACCTGTGACACTTTTCAAAAATAAAACCTCACAGAAAATCTCTGACTTAAAGCATTAGAGCTTACCTAATTACCAAATTCTATTTTAAAATTTCAAAAATATCTGCGTATGATACTGGTAACGTAATTAGGTATATATCAAATTAGCAATTCTCAAATCTTTTTTAATTTGGTCTAAATACTTTTATACTTTATTAAGAAAATTATTGTCCATTTTTTTTAACAATGCTATGTCCGCACCTGCACAAAAATCAGGCCTATAAATATTAAAACAGAACCTGAAACATGTTGATTTGAATCAGGCCTAACGTAAAATTTATGTAAAATAAAAGTATAATAAGATACTATTTCTGTACACACAATTAAATTTATTTTCTTAATAAGCCTCACCTATTAAAGAATTAATGATAAAAATAAACTGAAAGTAGAGAAAATCTGTACCTGTATTAGAATTAGGCTGCTATAGATAATGTTAAAAATAAACTGAAAGTAGAGAAAATCTGTACCTGTATTAGAATTAGGCTGCTATAGATAATGTTAAAAATAAACTGAAAGTAGAGAAAATCTGTACCTGTATTAGAATTAGGCTGCTATAGATAATGTTAAAAATAAACTGAAAGTAGAGAAAATCTGTACCTGTATTAGAATTAGGCTGCTACAGATAATGTTAAAAATAAACTGAAAGTAGAGAAAATCTGTACCTGTATTAGAATTAGGCTGCTATAGATAATGTTAAAAATAAACTGAAAGTAGAGAAAATCTTTACCTGTATTAGAATTAGGCTGCTATAGATAATGTTAAAAATAAACTGAAAGTAGAGAAAATCTGTACCTGTATTAGAATTAGGCTGCTATAGATAATGTTAAAAATAAACTGAAAGTAGAGAAAATCTGTACCTGTATTAGAATTAGGCTGCTATAGATAATGTTAAAAATAAACTGAAAGTGGAGAAAATCTTTACCTGTATTAGAATTAGGCTGCTACAGATAATGATAAAAATAAACTGAAAGTAGAGAAAATCTGTACCTGTATTAGAATTAGGCTGCTATAGATAATGTTAAAAATAAACTGAAAGTAGAGAAAATCTTTACCTGTATTAGAATTAGGCTGCTATAGATAATGTTAAAAATAAACTGAAAGTAGAGAAAATCTGTACCTGTATTAGAATTAGGCTGCTATAGATAATGTTAAAAATAAACTGAAAGTAGAGAAAATCTGTACCTGTATTAGAATTAGGCTGCTATAGATAATGTTAAAAATAAACTGAAAGTAGAGAAAATCTGTACCTGTATTAGAATTAGGCTGCTATAGATAATGTTAAAAATAAACTGAAAGTAGAGAAAATCTGTACCTGTATTAGAATTAGGCTGCTATAGATAATGATAAAAATAAACTGAAAGTAGAGAAAATCTGTACCTGTATTAGAATTAGGCTGCTATAGATAATGTTAAAAATAAACTGAAAGTAGAGAAAATCTGTACCTGTATTAGAATTAGGCTGCTATAGATAATGTTAAAAATAAACTGAAAGTAGAGAAAATCTGTACCTGTATTAGAATAAGGCTGCTATAGATAATGTTAAAAATAAACTGAAAGTAGAGAAAATCTGTACCTGTATTAGAATTAGGCTGCTATAGATAATGTTAAAAATAAACTGAAAGTAGAGAAAATCTTTACCTGTATTAGAATTAGGCTGCTATAGATAATGTTAAAAATAAACTGAAAGTAGAGAAAATCTGTACCTGTATTAGAATTAGGCTGCTATAGATAATGTTAAAAATAAACTGAAAGTAGAGAAAATCTTTACCTGTATTAGAATTAGGCTGCTATAGATAATGATAAAAATAAACTGAAAGTAGAGAAAATCTTTACCTGTATTAGAATTACGCTGCTATAGATAATGTTAAAAATAAACTGAAAGTGGAGAAAATCTTTACCTGTATTAGAATTAGGCTGCTATAGATAATGTTAAAAATAAATTAAAAGTAGAAAGTACTAAGTCTATACCTGTATTAGAGTTTGGCCTATATTAATAAAACAATGTTAAAAATAAATTGAAAGTAGAGATTTTGTATTGTTTGTGTTATCATCACTATGCCAGCCTGTCAATCATGAAATTATAAGAGAGAAAATTCCATTGATGTGTTACATTGTTGATTCACCATGACAACAACAATAAACAACAAGTAAATAAAAAGATAACAAGAAAAACTTATCATGCTGGTTTCTAAAAATAATTTTTTTTTATCTTAAAGTTTTCACTCACATAGTTTTTATGTGTTTTTATTTGATGTGTCACTATATCAATCAGTCTAGTGAAAAGTTTGATATTATGTTATCTACACTCATAGAAAATATAAACAACTTTCTTAGATTGATTGAAAATTGAGTTTAAATTATTAAATTTATTTTTCTGAAATTTGAGCCTGATGATCTCTAATTCCCAAATATATTTGCATATGTATAATCCAATTTAAACTAAAAGAGGAATAGTTGGCATTTTCGTGGTGTTAATTTGAGTCTTGAATATATGTAAATAATCTTAAGAAATACTAGAAATGTACTAAATCGCATAATTCCTTTAAAAATATTTCAAATTTCTATTTCTATAAATATCTTTACTATATATCACAGAGTATCTTAAATTGGTGAGTCGTCATTTTGACATTTAATCGTGTATAATATCGATGAGCATCAAGATAACATCATGAGTACCCACTGATAGGCCTGTCTTCCATTCTACCCCTCATTGATAATACAACCAAAACACAAAACAAACAATAAACAATTACATAGATGACAACAAATAAAGATCGACATTTTAACTTTCAAACAGGGTAATTCTGGACACTCATGGATTTGATACTCCTTCAATACTTTGATCATAGATTCTTCAACAAACTTTAACATATTCTACCATGTTTCACTTGAGCAGTTCATAAGGGAAAGGTGAATACTCAAGAAGTTATATGTTTTATTTTCGTACAGAAAAATGACACCAATATATCAATGGGCACTCAAATACAATCAGTCAATGATAAACTTTTAAAATCGTTTGCAGAGTCAGACCAGTACCTACAGGGGAAATGACCCCTGAAAGAATTGGCCCCCTGAAAATATTCTGACAACTGACTTATTCCATTAATTACTGGAACTAAACATTATTGCCCCTCCGGAAATATTATTAATCCCTCCGAACAATCAAATCTGGCTGCAGGCCTGCAGAGAATATGTGCCGTTTTCCAAATAGCAAGAGATGTATTGAGTTAAAATTCTTGAAGGAGATCTTGACAGTGTGTACCTGACTCTGATAAATTTTCCAAGGCGACAAATGGTAACACCTCGAAGGTATCTCTACACATAGAGCCCATGGTCACTAAATGAACCCTCCCCAAATACCCCATCCCCTTGCAATACATGGCAAGTTGACACTTTACAGACACCACGACAATAATATTGCAGACCGGCAGTGTCAGGAGTCGGCCAAATCATGTAAAATTTCAGTTTTGTTAAGTGGCGTGACATGAGACATTTCTAGAAAAAAGCCAGCCAAAACGACACAAAATTTCTACCGAAAAATGAAAGACCATAAATTTGTGCAGACGTCATGAGGTAAAACAATGCCAGAAACAAAGATTTACTCACCTAATTCAAGTGGAACATTTGCAGACGAATTCTTGGCACTCGATAATCGCCACCATTTATTTTCTCGTACATACCAACCGATAAAGAAATAAGTAGGTCAATGACAGAAATAAAGAAATAGCCCCTTTCTAGTAAAATTTTTGACTTTTACAAAATGGAAATGATTTGCAAAATTCATCTAAAAGCCATTTGGAAAATCTCTTTCAAAATGGAGGCCATAAACTGACAAAATGTTGATCAAAGATTTATCGATTAGTTTGGAGATATTTTCAATGGCTGACTATCGAGACATTCGTGATGAAATTGAAGTTAGTTTTTTAATTACAGGATTAAGGAAGATTAATATTGTTATATTTCCCAATTCGTCTGACTGCTGAATGTTAATTTCATCTGTTTATATTTGTTAATTATTAAGTTGCAGCCTGAAATATCTTTAGGTTTCAGTAGATCTACTTTTTTTCTTACTGGTAGCCGGTAGGCCTGCCTGCCTGACGAAATTTCCCTCATTGCACACTGCATAGCATGGCGTTGCCCGTCTGCATAAGTCCAATAAGGTGCAGAAATGTAGGACGCAAAACTCCATTCATTTCATTTCAGACTATACCCTTTTGCTCTATAAGATATTGAAATTCTATGATAATATGCTTGTTTCAGTTAGAAATGGGCATGTCATTAGCCGATTAGGCCAGCCTTTTGGATGGTACAATAAGAGGCCCTGTGTGTTTAGGCTATGTTAATACAACAGTTTTCCTGCACTCCATTGCACACTTTATAGTATTATTATTAGCACAATCAGGGGCAGGAAAGACGTAAAACTATGAAATATTTTGAATGAATTTTTCAGGAGCATGAAAAACCTCAACAATTATTATCACAATATGAGAAGAAATTAGTACAGAGTATTCAGAAATGTCAGTTGAAAGCGTTTCATCGAGTTCTAGCTAGTGGTATTGATCCTAACTATTGCTATGAACATGATAAATATCCACTTCATTATTCCACTCAGAGTAAACCTGCAATAGGTAAGGAGTTATTGCCCTTGACTTAGTAAAAACATATATACATATGAAGTATGAGACAATTTCTATTTTAGTCACAAACCAAAGACTCTGTTATCATTTCGGACAGCTGCAAGTAGGAGTGCCTGGCAAGCTATCGTTACTCACAAATTGGTATAGTGAGCCAAAACTTTTGGAAAGAGGGGCTAAGTAAATGCTATTTGACAGCCCCCAGTGGGCCCCTAGTAGAGAAGAAGAACAAAAAATGTTCATAAACATATTGGGGACAGATAGTAATGGTTTATTGTAGGTTATTTTTGTAATTTCCATTACAGAGAGTGATGAGATTTTTGAAACGTTGTTATATTCTGGAGCAGATTTAGATGTGACAGATAGATTCGGGACCACACCATTACATATGGCTGTTACAACTTCGTCACAGAGAGTTATCTCCCTTATAGAGGCAGGTTGTGCTATTGATGCTCAAGATAATGCAGGTAGAGAGTTATTCCCCTTGTTATAAGTCTAGTTACATGAATTATTGAATTTATTATTATTTAATACAATTAAAACATTGTGTTAGAAAAGTGCAAAGTAGGCCTACATCAAGTGGCAGAGCCAAAGGGGGGGCTCAGAAGCATGTGTTGTGGCATCAGTATTTTTCTCACCGAAAAAGAATTCAAATCCATCAATGGCATCTAATCTTTTTGCAGACGACAATCAAACTTGCTACCGACAGAAAAATGCAACAATTTGGCTGTATATACAGTTATTTCCCCTACTTTCTATTTTGGAAATTTTCTACAAAGTTATGGATTTGACTCCTTGACACGGGGATCCAGCATCTTGCCATTTCCTTAGATATCTGCTGTAACATTCTGAGCAAACACCCTAGAAGACACAATTCTAGACGGAATTAGACGAAACTTGGTGTAATTATTTGTTATCACCCATTCTATTGTTTCAGTTTGGGAATGTCTTAATTGTATAATCCAGCAATAGTTGATTGTTTTTTGTTTAATTTCTACTCTGATATTTACAGGAATGACGGCGTTGATGAAAGCCTGTGGATGTGAATCACCAGAAAGTTTAGTGATTGTACAAGTGTTGATAGATAGTGGTTGTAATGTTTATATTAAAGATGAATCTCATTATACTGGTAAATTATATTTCTTCCTGACAATTTCTTTTCATTCTTTCGTTATATTGTTCCCTTGGACTGAATGTTAGACAGGACCATGTTAGTTTGGTGTATAAGACCTAATTCTGACCCATGTAAAATAAAGAAGGCTCTTACTGGCTATATTCATAGGCGTACAACCCAAGCAAATCGCAGCACGAAGGTTGTTGTAATAATTTGACATTGTGAAGATACTGTTTTTACTGATGATATCTTTTAGCCAGTTTTGATAAAACAGTATTGATTTTGTTGTTTGTGTTTTTCAGCCGTACATCATATAATATTGAATAATAAACAAGATAACTGTATTCGTAAAGAGATTCTATATCAGTTAATTTATAGTGGTCTGTCTCCTAGTGAACCTGATAAACAAGGTATGGTTAATATATACTATCTACTATCGGCCATCAATTAGAAAATCTCAAAACACCTTCACATACAACTAATGTTACCATGGGGTTTGTTAGCTGTTTATGGAATCCACATGCAAAGATAAGGATATTGTTTGATGATTGATATACTTCCTCATTAGCTGCTACCAATGTTTTGTCAAAATGTTTTTTTTTTATTTCGGGTTTTGCTTTGCATTTATTTATTGATATTGTTATTTATTTCTCTCCTAATGAGACACTTGTTGTCACTGTCAACAGTTTGTTTACTCATTGTCCTTTGATGCATAAAGCCTAGAAACACTTTCAACCCTAGTGGCTGGATTACCTTGCACATCATTACACTATATTAACCCAGGTAAACTGACCGTTACTGAGTGACTTTACCCTTATTACTTGGAGTTCAGGGTATATGATGTTTTATTTTTATTTTCACTCAGTGTTGAAAGGGTTTATGAAGTATAAAAGTTTAGTATTTCCATGTATTAACTTGATGTTGTTTATATTTGTAGGTAATATGACAGTACATATGGAATTATTAAGACATTTAAACCCGTCAGGACAATTGAAAGAAGATGATTTTCTTGTCTTACAGACTTTAGTAAGATTAGGACGAAATATTCCAAGTTTAAATAAATTCTGCACAATATGGATCAAGAAAATCTTACCTAGAGCCTCTAAGTCTTTTCTTATACGACTGTTTGGAATATTTCAACCTGTTTTAGGTTTGACTGGTCTTCATCAGCTTCATAAACTATACAGTGAATCATCTAACTGTGATCAGAAACTAATAGACATTGTTAAAGAATACAGTCATAATCCCCGAACATTAAAATCAACCTGTAGATATATGATACGTTCTGTTTTAAAAGAAAGGTTATTGCTTGTTAAAGATGAACTTCCACTACCTGCTGTTTTAAAAAATTATCTTCTTGTACAATAAAATATATATTTAATATCCTTGTTGTATTATCTAACTACTTGTGAAAGTAAGGAAAGGGGGACATGAGACTTGACAGAATCTATAAATAACTAGATATTTGAGGACTAATGTATTTGAACTGATGAATGACAACCTGTGAGTACAGATAACTGAAATCTGTTAATGCTGAATCTAACGACTGTTGTTCTGCTTTTTTTAATAGGAACTGAACTGCATAGTGAACTTGTAGCTTAATAAACCAAGCACTAACAATCCAAACCGCAAACCAAACCCTAAATCTGTAACAACCTGTCTACAACCTTTCTCCAATCGAGTCCGACTACGAATAAATAACCTGGGGCCTTATTCTCGAAAACTTAACTTTAAGATGATTTTAGTGTTCCAGTCATCTGATTGGTCAATCACTAATATTGATTTTAAATTTAATTTTATTATCCAATCAGAATACTGTATCTCTTAAAATCTGGTTCAGTTTAGGAGAATAAGACCCCTGATCTTCAGCTACAGATTATCACCTCAAAAAGAAGAAAACAGATGAGATGTTGGTCAATAAAGAGATCAATAGTCTCAGGGTTGGTGGGTGAAAGACCATCCAAATTGATCCAATGAGTGACCTATAGGTTAACGTCTATACAGGAATCTGACAGTGTTTCTATTTTTGACAAGGGAGGAAACTGTTCAGAAATAATATAACCCATGAAAGATAGAAAATCTAGGGTTAAGGTCTTCGATTTGAATGACTTGGCAGTTTGTATTAAAACAAGGGGAACCAGTCATGAAATATTATGCAACACCAAACTTGTTGGGTTAATTTGCCTCTCAGATGTTGACCAAACCATTTCTTAATACATATTAATACATAATATATTACTGCAGCACAATTCAGAAAACAAAATGCTCTTTTTATTTGACATTTTAATATTTTTTATTTTCATGTGATTTTTAACAAAATGATTTCCATGTTTTAGCCTTGTTAGAATCTGGCCCAATTATTTTTATATTCTTGTACAAACAAAACCCAACTCTGGATACGGGTAAAAACTAAAGAAACCTTCATGCCATTTTCTCAAAAACTTTCACCAATGAATTAAAGACATTCTAGTCATCTGATTGGTCAGTTGATAAAATTGACTGTAAATCTAGGATTTATAGACCACTTAGATAACTGTTTTTCTTTAAGTTTGGATTTTTTTTAAAACCCAGTTATTAAACCTAATCAAAAATTGATATATCCATGTTGTTTCACAAATTTTTTTATAAAGAATTTTTTGATATTTCTCAATATAAGAACACATTTACAAAAAATCCTGATCCTTGAGTGTTTTTTACAGAACAGGGTCCAGAAAATACTACTATCTGATTGGTTAATAAAACTAAATTTCAAATCATTTTTATCAATAGACCAATCAGATGATGAGAATGTTATATCATTTTTAACTCAGTTTTTTTTAACACAGAATTTAATTCAAGCCTCAATTAATATTCATTCATTATTTTTACTTAAAACTATGTCACACAAAACAAAACTTTAATACAAAATATCGCCCGTTTTTAGACATTACAGAAAATATTTAAAGTTGGTGAAAAGAGGCCACAGATAATTTTTATATTAATTTAAGATGGACAATTAAATATTTAATCAGATTAAGAACAATAAGGTACTTGAAATCTAGTTTGTCACAAGTTTGAAATGAATGTTTTATAGAGGTCAGAATATTAAGATTAGATCAAGTTTTATTACATCCATTTACAAACAAAATATGACAAGCACCTGCTACTAAAATAGTTTATTATATCACATCAATGTGTTTAACTCTCTTTATAGAATACAGGAAAGATATCACCAGTTTTCAAATACCTTAATGCTTTGTGGAATTTAAACACATAATATTTGCTTTTTAAAAATTCCTTTAAATTTGTGCACTTTTTGATTATCCCAGCACTATTTGAAATAGATTGTGCAGACACATATATTCTATATTTATTCAACTGATAATTAACAGCAATAAAATTAGTTTGAATTGAATATAGCCTCGTTGAAAATTGTTTTTTCTTTAGGGAAATTTCCACTGTGCATTATTAACATATTTGTTTATCTCATACTGTTTGTAGAACCAAACACATTACGACACTCTGCAATTAGGTTTGTCAACTCAATGTAAGTAATGATGTTTATTGGTATACGTAATATTGAAGTTTAATTTCTAAATATTCTAATCTATTCAAATTTTTCAAAAAAAAAAGGGAGGGGCCATAACTTATCTTTGTACAATTTATCAGCCTCGTATTTCAATGGCCTTCAAAATTTCAAATAAATATAAAATTTAGATTCATTTATTTATTCAGTATATTCCCATGCAGAAAATTAAAACCTTGATCCCTGGTTCTTTAATCTGATTGGTTGTCTACCTCATTTACATATATTCATACACCAGGAATGTCCAAAAATGGTGAAGAGGCTAAGTGGGCGTGTCCTATTTAAAATGATAATGAATGATGATTGGTTGATAAAATGATTGATGGATGATAATGTTAATAATTTCTATGCATCTTCATCATCGCCGCCTTCATCTCCATCTTCTAAATCCTGAAATTAGATGAGAAAATACATTTGAAATATCAAACTGGCTATTGTACTGTCACAGTTTGTATTGTCTTTGGCTGTTAACAACGGGTAAGGATAGGATAGAAAAATGAAGTAGTAATATAACAAGACAAAAACTTTAATAGGGGTGGAACTCAGATCATAGTGTAGTAAGGTACATATACTGGAAGTTCAATCATTATTTATATTTTTCACCAGATTTTTGTAATTTGGCACCTTACAATTATTTTAAAATGGTCCGAGAGGGTTGAATCGGTAACATAACCCGGCAATAACTTGATCTGATGTTATCTACTTACATCTTCGTCTCCTTCACCTTCATTTTCGAGATCATCTTCACCCTCCCCATCATCATCTAATCCTTCGTCTTCTTCATCTATATCATCATCACCGAGATCACCTCCAGTATCATCATCTATTTCAGACGCCTGTTAATTACACGAGAACGAAATTCAAATCATTAAATAATCAAAGCTAAGATGGCTAATATATCAAAACATATCTATAACATTTAATACTAAAATACCAAGAAAAATATACAGATCCAAAAATAATCCATACAAATCTTTAAAACTCAAAACTTAAATAATCTTTCTTCGTAATTTTTAATTTTTATTTGATGTACCAGTTTTGATCAACTGAGCTCAAAAGAATTTATAACACATGTTGATCAGCTAAACCTTAAAGACTAATCCTTAAAAACTTACCAAATAATATTGTAATGGATTAGGCCATATATCATCCTTTATCACTTCACCAAGTTCATCTGCTCCAGCATCATTATGATCAGAAAACCAGTTAAAAAACGATTCTTGATCCCCTTCATCATGATTTCTCTTCCTTCCACCTTTACTCGGCGTACTTGATTTCTTCGTTAGGTCCTAAAACATTATATTACAATGTTAAATAATGGATATACTATTATACAATATAAACTAGCTAGCTAAGTTTGACAAACAGTCAGAGAGTGTTAGTAAGCAATTTCATTTATAAATAACCATCAAGAATTGTGCCCTCTAGAGTGTTTACAAGCTAAAATTGACCCAGTTTTCAAGAACAAGGGCAATAACTCATACTAATTATTTTTCGATCTTTCTGATTTTAAATAGGGTTCATCCTTAAGTGACAAAAAACCCTCACACCAAGTTTCATCTAAATCCATCAAGAATTGCACATTCTAGAGAGTTTACGAGTGTTTCAAGAACAAGGGCAATAACTCACTAAATATTTTTTGATTTTTCTGATTTTCAATTCTCAGTTCGCCCTTGGTTGAAATCAGTCAAAAATTGTGCCTTGTAGAGTGTTTACGAGCAATTGTGGACAGACAGACGGACATGGGTGACAGCAATATTCTGTAATAATTCTGTATTTATGCTATAATCTACAGCTAAGGGAATTTGACACTATCTTATTCCGTAACATTATTTAAGACAATTTACAGCACTGTAGTTTGTTAATCATTTCATAAATTTAAACCCACCTTTCCTGATTTCCATTTTATTGTTGTAGATTTCGACGAAGGTTCCCCAGTATCATTCAGGTGAAATTCTTTAGAAATTATTTCATTATCAAAATAAGGATTTGTATCAAAACTGAAGTTTATTTTATAGCCAGATTTTATATCTTCGAATTCCTGAACTTCCACCTTGGTTAGATACTGTAAAGCTTCTTCATCTTCTTCGTTTAATAGAGCAGAGACTTGGGGATGATTTACAAACTATATCACGGTTAAGGAAGAGAAAATACTGGATTTGTCATAAGATGTACCTATTTATAGTGTAGATACCATCTCTCTATTTGACAGCTTGATGTTTATTTTATACTTGAAGAATTCTGATTCAGTTGTCAGTCGATTATTTTTTTGAGAAAATGAAATTTTATAATGAATCTATCTGCATTGTATTTCAAAAGACTTGTCCAGACTGCCTTTGGGAGAATCCACCAGGATTCGCAAGGAAGACAAACAAACTGATTTCACTCTACAGAAAACAAGCAGAGGTTTTAAAAGATGAGTGAGACAGCTGTGAAAATTGACACATTTAATACTTTCTACTGTATCTCCCCGAACTGGCTTAAAGTAAATATTTTAGAAAGGATACAGCAGTGAACCAGAAGTTTGGTATTTTAGCAATCAGATCTGATCTCTTCTGGAAAAATGGCTGCCGACTTTTGTTAAATTTCTGTTCAACTTTCAATATTTCTTCACTGGCCTGCTCATTGAGTCTGTCTATTTCATTCTGTACTTCATCTATTTGTTCTATAGCTTCTTGTTGCTCTTTATCTATGAAAAAAAAATACAGTTTAACTATCAGACAAATTGGATTCTTGGATTTTAATTATAGGTTAGAAACAGGCCATAGTCAACTCGGCATGAAACTAATTGACTGATTCAACCAACTTGACAGAGCTCAGCTGAAAACAAGTTAAATAACATGGTCCAAATCTTGCAATCATCCAGATAATTATTCTGAACAAATGTTTTTTTTACTCTTATATTATGATAGGAGATCTTTTCATTTCGATCAATATCATTGGTCCAAAAAACGACCAAAAATACATAATACCTTCACCCCTGATTTTGTCATTAGTTGAATAGATTTTTGATTGAGGCATTTGTCTTGCTTGTACAGACTTTGATTACATATAATAAAATTCACATAATGAACACCATATCACGTCTAAAAAAATAACCTGTAAATCTTCCTTGTTAGATACACCATTGATAATATTAATATAAGGGAGATAACTCTAAGCTAAGTCTGTGAAACAATTTCTCCATTTTTGTTTAATTAAAGCCTATTGTTCATCTAGACAGAGCGCAGATTTTGTCAGACAAATTTATCTCCGGGAAATCATAGACTACACAAAAGGGCGTACATCAGTGTAATTCATGAAAAAATTATGATTTTACCAGAACAAAGCCTATAGCAGAGGATTGTGGGATTGGCCAAGCCAACACCAGTCACTAAATTTAAACAGGCCAAACAAGACTAAATTTTGTTTTTAGATTTTTACTCAAATTTGGTAATAATATTTATCAATTTAGAACTATTATAACTTCAACAATTATTAGCGGCCAAATCAGACATCAATGGTTTCAAAAGGTGGCCTACTTTGAACAGATCGGCTGTTTAAAAGAAGCCGGAAAATCGAGAACAAAGCTTCCATTTGCCTTACAAAACCATGTGGCCCCCAAAACAAGACACAACATCTCACCAAAACAACCCGTATTTTGGCCATCTCGGTCCCCGATTCGGCGGTTTCTATATACCGTTCGAAGCACAAGAATCTGTAGAATCGAATAGAAACAATAAATAGTTTACCTGCTTGCTCGTCGATATTATCATGATTGTTTTTTCCATCGGATTTCGCTACTTTAGCTTGGGAGGCCATTTCTGCAGGGATGTCTTTGTTACGCATGCGTATAAAATCAAATTGTCAGTGCGCGCTAGAATTAGTGTCGCTAAAAAATCAAAATAAATCGTTTCACCACAAAGTTTTAACAATTTCAACTCCTAAAAACACAAAATATCATGGCAAACTTGCTGTGGCTCCTATTTAGATCCGTATTTAGTCCTCTTTCTTTGTTTTCGTTTCCGTGTATGAACTTATCTTTCAGTGTGCAAGTAGTCCATGCGGTTTTACATCATTACACTCGGTTTATCCAGACGCAATTAAACAAAGCAATGTCAATAGTTTATAAAGACTGGTAGTCTAAGACTATATTTTTAATTTTAAGACAAATCGGACATTAGTCAAATTGTACAGTGTAGAATTATATCGGGCAAATCGGAACATTCTAGTCAAAATATTTAACCTAAAATTGTATCAGTTGTATTGATCTGCTTGTTTTAATTATTTGAGGTCAATTCTTTCACTGTTTTTAACTATTTTAACGGTTTTTATTTTATTTTTCGCCATTGCAGAAAATTTGTAGAAATCTAGGATTGTAAACAACTCAGACATTAGGACCATATTTAAAATCTGTAGCTAAATGGATTTATTTAATAGTCAGATTTTATGAATTGGTACATGAAGTCATTTCTGAATATTGAAATTGTATTTTAGGATTCTTCTATTTTGTAAAATAGGGCGATAGGGGGTTAAACCTGTTTCAAAATGGATTTGTTTTATTTCCTTATACACATTATTTGATGTAGACATTTCTTATATTTCTCACATCTATCTTCATTTATAATCACTACATAGGTAAATATTTATTACTTCAACGTTTCACCATTATCAGGAATATAATTACCACATTGAAACGTTGAAGTAATAAATATTCTAGAAGTATCTATCCATAACATTGTCTTATTTATCTATAACCTGTGATTTGAAAGATTATTATAATTATCATTCAATCATTTCAAGTTCAAATTGTTAATATTATTTTTTATTGTCTGTATCTTTACAGTGTTATTTATTAATTTATATGTTTTTATTCTTTGACAGTTATATACCTAATATCTTCTATAAATATTATTATTATTATTATTATTATTATTATTATTATTATTATTATTATTATTATTATTATTATTATCATAATTATTTATTATCTATTCCACTTTGGATTTTGGCTAATCACTCCCCCGTTTCCCTCTACTAAAACAATGGAGAATTTGACACTATTCATGATTTAACAACCAGCCTGTCTTTCATTCTCTAATAATAATATAAGGGAGAGGTTTCACAGGTTTTATGCCCAGAAGGTGTAAAGTCTTTATTAAAAGGGATTAATTGTTATAAATAGACTCTATTGTTTTAAGGTATAATTTAGGTCAGATGGGATTTTCTTGACAAATGGCAAACTAATCAGGATGAAATATTTTTACTCATTTTATTACTACTTTAGGTGTTTAGTATTAGGGTATATAGAGATAAGCACTGGCCTAGGTAACAGCAATAGAAAAACTTATTAATTATGAGAAAATTAGAATTTTAATCTTTAGTTAACTGGAAGCAGACATTTTTTTTATCAACCACCAACCAACCAGACTAGACTAGATCATTCCTTGGAAATCTTTTTTTTTATCAACCACCAACCAACCAGACTAGACTAGATCATTCCTTGGAAATCTTTTTTTTTATCAACCACCAACCAACTAGACTAGACTAGATCATTCCTTGGAAATCTTTTTTTTTATCAACCACCAACCAACCAGACTAGACTAGATCATTCCTTGGAAATCTTTTTTTTTATCAACCACCAACCAACCAGACTAGACTAGATCATTCCTTGGAAATCTTTTTTTTTATTATTCAAAAATACATTATGATAAGGATTGGGGAACAGGGCAGATAATATTAACAACCAGCCCTGTCATTAGGGTGGGGTCTGTGGGGGCTGGTCCCCAACAAGTGAGAATTAAGCCCCAGCAAAATCAATGTAGGGGGGGGGGGAATAATACCAATGTAGGGGGAATAATACCAATGTGGGGGGAATAATACCAATGTAGGGGGAATAATACCAATGTAGGGGGAATAATACCAATGTAGGGGGAATAATACCAATGTAGGGGGAATAATACTAATGTAGGGGGAATAATACCAATGTAGGGGGAATAATACTAATGTAGGGGGAATAATACCAATGTAGGGGGAATAATACCAATGTAGGGGGAATAATTTAGACAGTTTAATATTTCTAGAAATAATTTATTACAGGTATCAGAGAGTATAAGATTTACAATTCAAAATAAATTGATGATAAATTCAAACACTGTTTTATTTACAATTACAGGCAGATAATTATCTTAAATTTGACATTAATAAATTCCTCAAAACACTGAGTTATAAACCCAATACATTGAGTCATAAATATTAAATGTGAACACTCTAAAAGAGATGCCAAGTTAATGTGCCAAAATGAACGGAATTTCCAAAAGGAATACTAGATTAGTTAAAGGCCAGGTCTAAAAAGCTATAAATGTTGTATTAATTTCTTCTATCCTGTCTTTTCATTGTAAATTTCAATAGGAGAATGGTTATAACTCGGAAACACTAAAATTTAATTATCATCATACTACTGATTTAGAAAATAAAACGAAGTAGAATTCTAAAAAGAATTATTTCTAAATGTACAGATAATAATTATATAAAATATGGAATGAAATCAAGGGACATAACCATGTTTAATTATTCTATAGAAATATACAATGATATAATAACAAGTGTATGATGAGGTCGAAGGTCAATTACCCCATAATTTTGCAAATAATTTTTGCGTAATAACAAACATTTTGCAATTTTTGCTGCAAAACCTACCCCTAGTAGTATAATAAGAAGCCTATATACAACATAGTACAATACAATACAAGAGAGCCATAAAAAATGAGCCACATCTAACAACGAGTTTGTTAATTAAGATGTAAAACATACAGAAACATGTGTCTACATGGCACCCATAAATATAGAGACCTTTCAAATAAACAGAAATACCGTTAATCTAAATCTCATCTGAATATGGCAAAACTGAAAGTAGAAGTTGTCTAGTAGATTCATGTATAGTAGACAAGAGAATATATTTTGTTTAACTGACTCTAATGTTATATCACTTTGTCCTAGTATATTTTAGCCGAGAAGAATATTTTTTATTATTTATATCAAGGTGCGATTCTATTTATAAATACAAATAGTAAACATAATGTAAGTATCGTACGTAGTAAGGAACAAAATATATATTAGACCATGTTTACTCTTTTTTAAACACCTGATGGTACTTCTCTTTGGAGGGTCATCTGTTATTCACGATTTTACCATGCTATTAATGGAATTATCTAGCTTATAAATATTATTATTGTAAAGGTTCTCTGATGTGTGTAATAAAGGTGGTCGCGTGAGCAGTATATACTGTAATTATTATTTCTCCCTCTATATCTGTTTTGTATTGATGTAGAGTAGAAATAAACAGAATATATTACATTAGAAAGTTGATACACTATACTGGAAATACAATAAATAAATCAAAATTCTACAGAGATGTTCTCTCTGCTTCTCATTTAAATCTTATTTATATAGATAATATTGTAATACATGTTAATATGAAGATGAAACCTCTGACATATTTTACAAACAATGTCAATAATACACATGTATTTTAATATATTACTATAGTATACACTCATTATCAAATTATTTTGTCGTAGATTTAGTCAATAAAAAAGTTCTCATCCTGTGATTTTTCTGCATCAGCATCATTGAAATCAAACAATTAACTGACAAATTACCAGGACAAAACAGCTACAGAAATATTTGTCTGCAATTTCATTCCAGCATGCAAGTCAACTACAAAATTATAGCATTCAGTTTTATTGAGCATGATATATTGACAGACCTGTTATATAATAGAAGGCAGGCCAATATCAAATAAAAGATTTGGTATGAGTAGGTATATATTGTACTGAAGCTAATATAAACAGCTATAGATATTAAGATATATATATATTACTTATATAATTTTATATAAACATATTTACTAGCCTTATTCACTAGATATACTAGTAGTTATCTCAATATAACCTTTAACAGCTGTCTGTACTACCTTCCTTCAGCATAGAGACAGCTAATACTACATTACTTCAGCTGGCATAGTTTTTGTAAATCGTTTACCACTATACACTAAAATGTCATTGTGAAAGGTGATACAGATAGATAAAATTCAGCTGTAACAGTTGTGAAAGTAAATATTTAGAGAACCATAATTATACCTTAAACATTAGATAAATTATAATATATCATTGTTTTATAAAATACTGAATTATCATTTAATATTTTATCTTGTTTAATTTATCTATTTTCATATATACTTTACTACCTTGGCCAGTGCTTCTATAGGAGAGTATCTTCTATAACACCTGATACTACACTTACAATCAGTTTCCAGACCCTAAACTAAGTATTTCATCATTTGATATCAAATGCAATAATGAATTTATCTATTTTAAACATATCTTTATCAGATATCTTCAATCATCATTAGAATGTTGTCAAGTTTCAGTCTTGTATTTATATGGCAAGTAAGTTTGAATATATGAGATATTAAATTAACAATAATATTAACTTCTAACTTTCTTTAATTACATTTTTTGAGTCGATGGTTTACTCTCACTATTTTTCATGGTATCTTTTTTAAATTATTTGAGCCATTATCCTACCCTAAATCTAAGTCTTTATTTCATCATTTGAAAACACGATTGACCTAATGAAGACAAGTAACCCCTTGCAGTGTGTAATGAGGGATTCATGTATTATCTGAGACAAAATCTGTAATATTCGGCACCACTGAGACAATTATAAAAATAAATCATTCTGAATAAAAGTTCTGATGGATTTCTACAGATTGAACATTATAAATTGAGCATGAACAGTATAATAAACATCTATACAAGCAAGACAATTCTGTTAATCAAAAATCTCATCCTGAGTAAAAGTTGTACATTAGCTTGTCTGTAACCTGTTTTCTTCAGAATAAAAATGTAATTGTTATATCCTTGGTCTAGAAAGCTCCTCTATTAACTTTAACATATCATATAGAATATTGTTTTCTTGGAATAATCTTAAAGGGAGATAATCATCTAATATTTTCTATCTTATTGCTATGTGCAGGTAAGGCAGAGCCACTCAAACAGTCGGTTGGCTGAATTGAATTTTTGATGGCAAAACCAATATTTACTCAGTCCTGGCTTTGAGAAGCTAAGACAATCTTAGTCTCTCTGGCTCTGCTTCACCTGGCTGTGTGTATCTCTGTTTAGAATACAAATTCATACAACCAGTTCATCTACAATTTAACAAAAACTAAAGGGTGAAATACTAGCAAATATTTAGACGACCATGTCAATTTTATACATTGTTAAACTTTCATACATAAAATATGGAAATGAGCAAACAATTTGAATCAAAGCACTTAAAATGACTGTCTTTTGAAATAAAAAGCAAAAACTTCATCCAAAATACAAACTAAACTATATAAAATAACCTCTACTAGAAAAATATAGAAAAATAAAATAATCAATCAGGAATGCTTAGAGAAACACAATAAAATATAACTACAAGAAAAAATACAATCGTTATGATGGATGGTCCCTTCATTTTTATCAGCAAAATATAAATTGCGTAGCTAAATGAACTTAAAACTATTCTTCATATTTTGTCTCCGAAATCACAAAAAAATATAAAACGAAACTTGACAAAACAAAACTAAAGACATTTTACTCAAAGCGACAGTTCTAGTGAGATAATACCATCTCCTGTTGAACACAAATTTACAGGTTTTTGTTAGTACCATGAAGCCATCTTGAGATTTTCATAAACTTTAAAAGAAGAAGTGATCAATGTTGTAAAAATTGTCAATTCTTTTCTTAAAACTTTACTAAAAGAATTTTGAACTTCAAGATGATCTGACCTGTTGTTTTTATATTTTTAAAGACTCTGATTTAAATATGACCTGTCAGACTTAACCAATCTGATATCTTATTCTTCAAAACTTAACTTAAATATAATCCAGATTTTAAAATATACAGTAATCTGATTGGACAACAAAACTAAATCCAAAATCAATTTTAGTGATTAACCAATTAGATTACTGGGAAACTAAAATCATCTGAAGTTAAGTTTGCCAGAATAAGGCCCCAGGTTTCTAAGGGTGATTTTGATTGAATCTCAATGATGTAATTATTATCAGAGTAACGGTAGAAATATGGTGTAATTTTTAACCATATATAGATATTCTCTGCTGCCATGTTAACTCGTGTTTAACTTAACAAATAGCAAGGGTCAGACCCAAGATTTTAACTGGATTAAATATTACATCACATGAGTCTCAACTCTTTAATTTAAACCAGAGCTTCAATCAAAGACATCCTGATATAAATAATGATCAAACACCTGACATATAAATTTGTTACTGAGAAAGAACTTGGCCATGTAAAATGTCTTTTACTATAATTTATTATAATGAGAAATAGAAATTAATTATTAAAGGAATGTTTAAAGCAGGTAATAATAAAGATAGAAACTATGTGGTTATCTCCCTTAAGTCTTGAGATAAAGTCAAGGTAGTGTGATGTTAATAAGGAACACTCTTCCTAAAACAGAATTAACTGTCAAATACCCTGAACTCTTACAGTATCTATCAGTTAGAAATGGCTGTTTCACTAGGTTGCTCTGGTATATCATGTTAATAGTAATAATGTTGTCAGTAATATAACAGCTAGCTAGAGTCTGGTCTGAAGATTTATTGATCTCTCACAGACTATATTTTGAAATGAATATATCTGAAGTTTCTGTCTGTTACTCTAAACTGGCTATAATTATAAAAATATTCCTTTCACTGTCAGTTATTGATGAACTATGATTTATTCAGGTTTTATTCACTCACTGATAACTGTTTATAAATAACTTTCTAATATAAGCCAGATTGTAAAGAGGTTTTCTCAACTGTTTATGTGTATCAGAGACATTGATAGCATCAATTTACACCATTCTAATTTTCAATCAGACGTCTGTGGTTCTTGCAATTCCTAGTAAACTAAGTGTTTTATGACATGACTATTTAAAACCATGAATCTATAATTTGCAGCATTTTATCAAGAACTTATCCAGGTTTTTATATCAAGGTTACATTGTATTTCTATAAAAACATATCTTTTAATGATTCCAGAACCACTCCTGACAGTCTTTTAGGAAACTGTTCATTCAATCATGAAAATTCTTTCTGAGTCTGTTTTTTTGGTCACTATGCAAGGCCATCTCACTATATATATATTTACATGTCTCAAGGCCATAACATCCAGTGTAAACTGTACCATAGGAGGTTACCAAGTAGACATCCAAACCTATTTCTTAAATATCCATTAGAATGTTTGAATGCACTTGTTATCCATCAAAACACAGGGCCATTAACAATATTTCACTTTTAAACCAGCTCCGACAGATTAATCTTAGACTTATATTCTCTTCCACAGATAGATGAAAGATGATGGCAAACTATCCTTGTCTCTCCTCATACACAGTTAACATTGTTAAACAATTCAACTGACTCAAACTAACACAGGGCTGTTGATTTGACTCTATATGCCGGACATAACCAACTGTCAATATCCTCTATCGGAAATCAAGTATAGGTTAGCATGGCTTTCAATGTCTGTCAAATACAAAATTTAATAACAACTCTGTAATGAAATATAAAGCCATCAATCACTGTTTGATATTACAATAAGTTTTATAGAATCCTTTAAAACGTTTAAATCAACACAACTATCATTATAACTTGCGTAAGTTTTAGGAATAGATATAATATGTTCTGATTGGTTAAAATTTAAAACAAGAGATCTGACGTAGTACTTTCTGACCAGGTATTCGTATCATCCTCGCCAGCTGGTATTAACTCTTCTGATTTTGTTATTTCCTGTTCGGGTTCTGGTCTGATAACAATAGGGTCTGGCTCTCGATGATCATTCCAATCAAAATCTGACTGATATTTAGATACGTACGATGATAGTCCACCTGAAATGAGACAAAATAAAATATAGGACATCTATAAAAAATATTCCAGAATGTAGCGATGGCTGGGGATTGTTCCTCAAATTTCACGTGTAAATTCGTAATAAATATTGTTTAGAAAAAAACAGTAAATTTGACAGTAGTTCTGATATCTCAGAATAATTAATACACCTCGAATAATATAGAAATAAAACAAGTAACAAGTCGTTGCTCAACCTGTGTATGTATATAATGTATTTCTCAACACACAACACAATACAGTAGGTCATACATTAATATAAAATAACATTCGAGACACATAAAGAAGGCCTGTTATCAATGTATTGGTTTGACTTCGGGTTTGGTTTTGCAATTCAGATCATGTTATGTGGCATCAGGTGACATTCTCTCAGTCCCTAACATGAGGTTTACCAGCTACAGTGAAACACGTTAGAATTATGTAATTGTTTCAGTCATGTTGTAGAGACAATGTAATTTCAATAGTTATAGAAGTAAGAACAGACATTGTGTTATATAACGTCACTTAATATCCACATTGTCAATACATCCCAAAAATAACTAACCCTAACCAAAAACAACTAACCCTAACCCAAAAACAACTAACCAGCAAATTTTATAAGAAACAAAAGCTGACTATTTCCCTCCTTTCTGATATTGTATTATAATTAACAGGATATCTTCTCGTTAGTTTTTGTTAATTAGTTAATTGTTATTTTTGTTTAATCCTTTCTTTTTTTTTAACTTTTCCTACTGGTCTCATATCAAGTTATTTTTCTTATAAATCTTTTGATAAATAATCAAAACTGTATTTTTGTATAAAAGAAAGATAATAAAGTCGTTTGTGTTGTTTAATTAATAAGGTAATTAAAACTGTTTCTATAGACTTAAAGATTAGGGTGATGGTCTATAATTAAATAATTGTATATTAATTTTCTGTAATTAAAAGTCATGGTTTCCTCAAGTTTTTATCTGTGAATCTTTTAAAATGAAATTATCAATTGTTGAATCTTGTTATATATATTTATAGAAATATAATGGTAATAGGGTTACATTCTTCTCAGACATGTTGTGGAGATTAAAAATACTTCTTTTTAATATCATGGAGCAATATCAAAACAGTCCATTAAAATGAATCTTTGAAAGATTGATGTGAGAAAGAACAAAATAGGGTAGTGGTAGCACCAGTCTACTGAGACTCGAGGTACCAATAGGGGGCAGCCAACGAGGGTCAGATTCACAATACAGCAGCTGTGTGGAAACTGTAAATATGTTAGGGTTCTCCCAAACAATTTTTGGAAAATAACAGATATTTTGGGTCAAAGTCAAATAAAAAAAATCATAGTTTTAAATTTGTAAGAAAAGAGGTGATTGTTATTTTTTGGAACATGGAGAACACAAGGCTCATTCACATAGAGATGTTTCTGTTAGACCAAGTTCAGGATATCCTAGAAACAGTGTCAGAAGATAAGACTCTAGGATATCCTAGAAACAATGTTAGAAGATAAGAACCTAGGATATCCTAGAAACAATGTTAGAAGTTAAGAACCTAGGATATCCTAGAAACAATGTTAGAAGATAAGAACCTAGGATATCCTAGAAACAATGTTAGAAGTTAAGAACCTAGGATATCCTAGAAACAATGTTAGAAGATAAGAACCTAGGATATCCTAGAAACAATGTTAGAAGATAAGAACCTAGGATATCCTACAATCAATGTTAGAAGATAAGACTATAGGATATCCTAGAAACAGTGTTAGAAGATGAGACTATAGGATATCCTAGAAACAATGTTAGAAGATAAGACTATAGGATATCCTAGAAACAGTGTTAGAAGATAAGACTATAGGATATCCTAGAAACAATGTTAGAAGATAAGACTATAGGATATCCTAGAAACAGTGTTAGAAGATAAGAATCTAGGACATCCTAGAAACAGTGTTAGAAGATAAGACTCTAGGATATCCTAGAAACAGTGTTAGAAGATAAGACTCTAGGACTAGGACTCTAGTTTAATCATACAGATTATAACAGTATTGTTGATGTCAACAATAAACTCGTGTATTTAAAACTAAGATTATTTTTTTAAACTAGTTTCGTTATTTATTGTGACTGGGTAATGTCCGTCTGTAATCTTTACTACTATTATAGTACTTACAACTAAACTCAGGGTGATACATGACAGTTTTTTTACCCAACACCAACTGGTGTTATACATAATAAAAAACAGTTTTATGGGACAGTTTCGCCATCCATTTGACCAATCATAGCTTATTTAGCTAAATCAATCAGTAATAGTGTTCAGTACACTGTCAAAATTTTAGCCTTCAAATCCATGTGTGTCCAGAATTATCTGTGTTTGAATGTTAAAATGATGACTCGTCTTTTCTTGAGACACTGCCATATATAGAAAGTGAAATTTCTAGTTTGAGATATTTTTGAAGGAATTTTAGAAACTTAAATGGATATGAACAAGAAAATATCCTCTACCCCCTTGTATTTATTTCCTGGAGAATGAATGACAACCAATCAATTGAATTGTTAATAGAATCAACAATAAACACGTTCAATAAAAAATAGTCCAGAACTCTCTCTCTTTCTCTACCTTCCGTTAAAATATCACCAAATCTACTGATTTCAGTAATTTTATAGACGTAGGCTCGGAATTAGATTTTAGACCAATCACATGGAGAAAATCTACCCCCTTCTAACAAACTGAGCTATTCCCCTGCAAAACGGAATGAAATAAACAGAGTTTTATCTCCTACTTTTCTGCACCTAATTGAGATAATTCAGACAGGGAAAACCATGCAGTGTACAATGAAGAGAAATCTTTGCCAGGACAGCAGCATTGACCTACTTTTTTTTCGATTTCAAATCAATTCCAGTCGTTCCAATCTTCATCACTGACAGGAGAGAAACTGGGTTGAAAACTTCACAAGGTATTATCTCAATATTCAATATGAAGAAATATATTGGAAAGCAAAATATATATAATATTTACCACTGTGAGAGAGGGCAGTATTAGATCGTAATCCCTCATCATCATTGTTATTTCTGGGTGTACCAGGGGGTGTATCATCATCTTCAATATCATTTCTATAACTCTCAACAATCACTAGCTCCTCCTCCTCAGGATGTTTCAACAGGTATTCTTCTAACATGTGAAGTTCTGATGGGTATTCGTGTAATGTCATAGCTTGATCATTAAACTTTATACGACCCTGAAAATACATAGAAAATAATATTACAACAACTTTTTATATTGTGAACCATAAACAATACAATTCTTGGTGCCAACATCAACACATCTTCACAATGTCAGGATATTACAAGCTTTGAACTTATACCTTGACTGCCTTTATCCACTATTCTTGTATCATATCTTCACAATGTCAGAATATTACAAGCTTTGTACTTATTTTTTGACTACATAGTCACTATTCTTGTATCATATCTTCACAATGTCAGAATATTACAAGCTTTGAACTTATACCTTGACTGCCTTTATCCACTATTCTTTCAAAGTGTCAAGTTATTATAAACTAGTTATTGCTTATACCTTGACTGCAATAGTCACTGTTCTTTTAATACAGAATGCGGCGATTTGATTAAATTACCAGCCAATCAGAGCCTAAGTGCTTTATCTTAATATTAGAGGGAATGTGTCCCTTCAGCAGATGATTTAAGATACTCTAAGGAACATAGTCCGACAACGAAATTATGACTTCATTTGTAGGCTATAAATGTGTTTGAAACAAAACACTTTTCAGAAACTATATTCTTAAAATTAAGCAGCCAACCGATCTAAACAATCAACATGTTTTCTTGTAGTTAAGGCAAGGACTAAACTAAATTCTTTAAGTAAGATTCGTGTCATTTTTTCTAAGATCCTGGAAATATTTGTTCTATTTTCCCTGGATACCAATTTTATATTGACATACAAGATATCCCTTTTGTTATAGATGTTAAATATTAACCAGCAGGTATTCAGGTTTATGTTTATATATCACAATGCCTCCAGCAAATATACATTACTATCATATTTATAAAATAGACCTACAGGGAATTCACTCATTTTAATATTTACTTTACAAACTCATATTCACCTATCTATATCACTTTTCACAATGAAAACAGAAATCAGGTTTGTCTACAATACAATAATATAATACTGGTAGAAGTAATATCTGAGTTTCTAAGTAGTTATCATTATTAATATTCTCCAGTGTCATATTGTTATTGCTATGTGATAAAATAAGTAACAAATCTGAAATGACTCCCTAAAATGATCAATGGTAAATGTTTTACGAACCAAAAAAGTCCAGAATTAAGGGATATAGCTTCACCGTATTTGGGGGTTTATTTCTGTGATGAATATATGTTAATATTCTTGAGAAATACTAGAAATCTACGAAAATTGCGTTATTGATTTATAACTAACATTTATCTGAAATGTACACAACCATATAATTTCAGAAACTAGTTAAATTTAACAACGTAGTCTAATTTATACAGAGGTTAGTTAACTTCCTGTATTTTCTGTGGTTAAACTACCCTTCCTTTCTGATAAAATATAATCATTGTTTTAACTAATTGACTAATTGAAAGAAATACCAAGCCTAGTTTATTTTTAGCTGGATGGGCTGCTCACTTCTTAGTTTAAATATGCAGAATGAAATTTTTGTATTTATCACCTGTTCTTTTTAAGGAAAAAGTTATATAGTATATACAGGGTATAAAGTTATATAGTATATACAGGGTATAAAGTTATATAGTATATACAGGGTATAAAGTTATATAGTATATACAGGGTATAAAGTTATATAGTATATACAGGGTATAAAGTTATATAGTACATACAGGGTATAAAGTTATATAGTACATACAGGGTATAAAGTTATATAGTATATACAGGGTATAAAGTTATATAGTATATACAGGGTATAAAGTTATATAGTATATACAGGGTATAAAGTTATATAGTATATACAGGGTATAAAGTTATATAGTATATACAGGGTATAAAGTTATATAGTACATACAGGGTATAAAGTTATATAGTATATACAGGGTATAAAGTTATATAGTATATACAGGGTATAAAGTTATATAGTATATACAGGGTATAAAGTTATATAGTATATACAGGGTATAAAGTTATATAGTATATAACATACAGGGTATAAAGTTATATGGTATATACAGGGTATAAAGTTATATAGTACATACAGGGTATAAAGTTATATAGTATATACAGGGTATAAAGTTATATAGTACATACAGGGTATAAAGTTATATAGTATATACAGGGTATAAAGTTATATAGTATATACAGGGTATAAAGTTATATAGTATATACAGGGTATAAAGTTATATAGTATATACAGGGTATAAAGTTATATAGTATATACAGGGTATAAAGTTATATAGTACATACAGGGTATAAAGTTATATAGTACATACGGGGTATAAAGTTATATAGTACATACAGGGTATAAAGTTATATAGTACATACAGGGTATAAAGTTATATAGTATATATGGGGTATAAAGTTATATAGTATATACAGGGTATAAAGTTATATAGTATATACAGGGTATAAAGTTATAAGTAAAATATAAAAATAGAAATATAGAGGTCTGTTATTACTTTGATGTGCTGTTGATAAGTAAACAATATAGTCAATTGTTGACAGTAAGTTTACGACTCAGAAAGATCGAAGACTGAACCTAGTGTAATAGTCAATACTGAACTAGTTACTCCTCTTGTGTAAACATCTTGTTTACATTTCACACTGTAAACAATTTCATCTTCTAACAATATACCAAACTATTGTCTAAAAACTATTGTCTCCGTTTAATATTGTCTCACCATAAAAAACAGAAGAAATAGCCTAGTTTGTCTTCAGGAATGGTTTTAACACTTTAACAACATATAAGTAACAACATGTTCTGTTTTTATATCTTAATAGAACTTGAATCATGTTGTTATTCAGACTTTCATGCTATGAGATCTTCAGACAACTGAATTATTTTCAGCCTGAAGTTAGACAAGTAGAACTTATTCTCATGTTTACACTTGGAGACGAGTTCGGAAGGTTTGTTTAAAGACATGTGTTTAGGGGTATTTATGATGGTAAGTTTATGAGTTAAACACAGGTTACATTGTCAATTGTGGTCAGAGAAAAGTGAAATTATGTTGAAGACAATCATATTGTAGTTAGTATACACTGATATTATCATATATAGATATAAATTGTAACACAAACTCTCTCAAGTTCATTGACCTAAATACGAAAGAGGATGTGTATATATATATATATATATATATAGGTCTATATTGTTTATAGAGACCAGAGGCGTAGCAGGGATTGACAGGGGGGGGGGGGGGAGCATCTGAGGGTCCCTTGACGTCCCTTTGCAGATTTGAAAAGGCACGAGTTATGTGCCAAGGGGAACCCATGGGAAATTGTGTGAGGATGTAGAATACATGTTACATTATTTTGGAAGAGAAAGTAGAATAATTTTTTCTTTTTTTATGGCCCGAGAGGGGGTGGGGTCATGGCCTCAAAATTACTGCCTATTTACACTACTGTACCAGACTAGAGAATCTCAGAAAGTTTATTAGTTGTCATGGTATTAGGTATATCAGAAAAGATTTTGTATGTGTATTGGATGTGTGTTTAGGGTATGTATCAGTGAAATAATTTGATCATATTCTCTTGACAATGGTCAACATGAACTCTGTCTATTTCTCATGATGTCAAGGTTAGTAATAGATATTAGAGATTGTGATGATGCTATCAGGGAAGTCAATCCTAAACTTGCTGGAGGTCAAAGTGTAACATCTTGAATACTATCAACCTTGCTCCCTTATTAATTAATAGATAGGATAGTGGTTCACTTTATCTAAACAGTATGCTACTATCATTGTTGTAGGTCCTCTTTGGAATTGAACCCAAGCCTGAATTTAAGGGAACAGAGGAACACAATGTAACGTCTAGAATACTACCAAGCTTGTTCTGTTATAAATAGCGGTTCACTTTTTCTAAACAGTATGCTACTATAATTATCTGAGGTTGCCCGAATTTCTAACCTAGTTATGAGCTTCATGCCTGAAAAACTTGCATTCGGGGCTGTGAGGGCGGGTTGGCTGCCCCCTTTGTCTCCACCACTGCCAGATGATATCTCTTCTCAACAGTTTATTAACAAGATTTTTTAAGGTATATTGAAATGATCTACAAGTCTGAGAATAAGAGACAGAAGGTCACATGCTTGGGGTTAAAATTTCACATTAAAATATCATGTCCAGACAGTATCTTAAGATACATCAGTTTGATATGTTGATTATTATAACATCTGATCAAGTGGAAAAAAACAGATATAAATCAGAAAATTCAAGATGACCTGATAAATATACGTCTGGTGAGTCATTTCCCGCCAAAATCACTTCAAGCAGACCACACTTAGTGTGATATATAGTGACAGAATGAATCATTTTATGCCTCATCTATAATTCATAATAAATAATCTACTGTCCGACAACCATTACAGACAGGCTAATATAGTTTAATACTGTCCGACCACCATTACAGACAGGCTAATATAGTTTAATACTGGCCGACAACCATTACAGACAGGCTAATATAGTTTAATACTGGCCGACAACCATTACAGACAGGCTTATATAGTTTAATACTGGCCGACCACCATTACAGACAGGCTAATATAGTTTAATACTGGCCGACCACCATTACAGACAGGCTAATATAGTTTAATACTGGCCGACCACCATTACAGACAGGCTAATATAGTTTAATACTGGCCGACCACCATTACAGACAGGCTAATATAGTTTAATACTGGCCGACCACCATTACAGACAGGCTTATATAGTTTAATACTGGCCGACCACCATTACAGACAGGCTAATATAGTTTAATACTGGCCGACCACCATTACAGACAGGCTAATATAGTTTAATACTGGCCGACCACCATTACAGACAGGCTAATATAGTTTAATACTGGCCGACCACCATTACAGACAGGCTAATATAGTTTAATACTGGCCGACCACCATTACAGACAGGCTAATATAGTTTAATACTGGCCGACCACCATTACAGACAGGCTTATATAGTTTAATACTGGCCGACCACCATTACAGACAGGCTAATATAGTTTAATACTGGCTGACCACCATTACAGACAGGCTAATATAGTTTAATACTGGCCGACCACCATTACAGACAGGCTTATATAGTTTAATACTGGCCGACCACCATTACAGACAGGCTAATATAGTTTAATACTGGCCGACCACCATTACAGACAGGCTAATATAGTTTAATAGTGATTATTATTAGTTATGACTACAAGTTGAAATGTTAAAAGATTTATGATATAGTTTTTTTGGATGATACACTACGCCAACTGAAACTTATTAATAAATAGTTGACACTGTGGCTCACTTTATCCAATAAAACATCATACTACATGTTTAAATTTAACCTGTTTTAATCAACGTAAATGGCTACAGGAAAGCGTGTTGATTGGTCAGTTTTGAAAAAAACAAGTGATAGTATTAAAGTAAACAATAATTTTAAGTTGAATTTTGTTGAGAAAAGAAGGTAGAAAGGAAAATTGTGGTTAAATATTTTAATTCTGGGATTGAAATTAGGAGTGAACATGTTAAATATATTTTTTATAATTATTGTTTAGGTAGGAAGGGCAGAATACTGAGAGATTTATGGTGAATCAGTTTAAAACGGGAATCTTCAGGGAAGAGTGAAAATGATGGCAATGCTTGGTCATTGTCTCCCTGCTCAATTGAAACATTAATATTATTGTAATCTGCTTCTGAATAAATTTCATAACAAGGGAGTGTCTATCTTTAAACTTAACATGTTGGTTATAATATAGGTCAAAGGTTATAATATAAAATTAATAAATTGACATCAATGATGCAAAAACATGAGGTATCTAGAAAATCCCTGAGGATGGGATAAAAAATGAGAGGTCTTTCTGTAAGGCGAGGTCTGAAGTCAGCAGATTTCAGATGGCCTGAGATGAAT